AAATATTATCAGGAATATATTTGACAATAATTTGTTTTGTGTCGCAGGGGTCAAGTAAATAGCATGCTATCTTAGCATGTAGCCTAGCCCTAGCATAGCCTAGCCTAGCCTAGCCTAGCCCGGTCTTTTCAAATGCTAATGCAATTTTAGCATAGCCCATGTATTTTAAATGGTAGGCTAATGCTACTGTAGCCCGGGCTAATGCTAGGCTATTGCCATCACTACTTCTCAGGAGTACCGGATCGGGTAAAATCTGCCCCCTTCGTGAGGACTGTACCTTGTGTACTGGTTGCAGCCAAAATTGAGGACTATCGCACTGAAATTGTGCATTGAGAAGGCAAGTCACCTCGCCCGCTTTATTCTTAATAAGACAGCAATGCTATTGAAATGCTCGAGTGAAACGTCGTTTTAAGCTAGACTAGATAACGTTTGATGTTTGTATGCAAAAGTATAGAATATGGCGTTGACGCGGTGAGAATTCATCACTGCTGCGAGCAACCTTGCTCATCTTCATGAGACAGCAGTTACAGCTGTCAATAATGTATCAAACAAAGAGCAAGATTGAGCTTAACTCGTTAGTGAGAGCGCTGCGCTAGGCGACCCTACCTCATTTCCAGAAAACAGATGAATACCGAAGGTGAGTCAGATCATAAGTGCCAACGGCACCGGGGTATTGCTGATCTAAGGTATTAAAGATTCATGCGTTTCAAGTCATATTCTCTACTTCACCAGTAGTAAGGACAGTCCTGGTGAGATCGCCGCCTTACAAATCGCTTCACATGGAAGCAAGTCACTCATTGTTTATTATGTAGCGCGGCGGAGGACGACCTCATGCAGCTGGATCTCAGGAACTTTATTGGTTAAGGAAGCAGTCAATTCTCGTCAGGAGTTAAATTGTTTGGTTAATACTGATATGGATCGTTCATTAGATGTGCTTTTCGAGCTACGCAATTGCACTGAGTACCTTATGCGATTCGGAGTCATATAGTCAGAAACAGATTATCGCTCCACTACAAGGGATGGTAGAGTCGCTTCTCTACCACAGCAAGAGCGATTTTCACATCCGACTGGCCCGGTAGAGCGAGGTGTGGTCCGACTTTAGCAAACACTTGTAAAGCACAAGATGTGTTTGCATTCAATGTGAAATGCTAAGGGTGTAACTCAACCTTTTTTCGCTAGGACTGCGAGCGTCCTATGTAGCCTATTTGTAACTTATTGACGGGTAGACTAGCAACATTTAATATAACTCATTGCAAAAAAAGTTATATAGTCTGCCTTTGGCATTTGCATGGTATTTTTGTACATCCTGGCTCGCGGCATAGAGCTGCACGCTTGGCGCACATCGGTTGATCTTAATGAAATAAAATCTGATTTCTGCGATGAGGTGTATTCGAGCTAATAGCAGCGAGTCTAATTGTATTGATAGCCCTTCCTATATAAAAATTAAATAATATAGTGAAGTCTGTAAAAGCATCTACCGCCTTGCTCAAACACAAACACAATAAATTTGGTCCAGTGCCGCGGTCTCTTTGCAAAGGCGCTCGAGATAATATTCTCCACCACGCAATTCAGTCCAACATTCTGTCTGCACTCGTTTGCGGATAAAGTGTTTTATCTGGTGCCTAGCGCCCAATAAAAATTGCCAAGATTTCGCCGCAAAGTTGAAGTCTCGATTCCACATATTGGATAGCGGCCAGCCGTTCTTGTAAAAACATGTCAAGGAACTGCTTGCATTTAATGTATCACATGGTTGGTTACAGCAGCGAAATGAGCCATTTTGCGCAGTCAGTCCACATAAACCACAATGCCGATATTAACGGACATGCTGTAAAAGCTGACAGTAAAGTCCATACTAATGGGTATCCAGCGCTTAGCCGGAATCGTCAGGCTGGATCAAGGAGCAGACTCATGCGGCAAGAATTTGAGTCATTGTTACAGTTCACACGTGCGCACATAAGTGCTTACCCGATATTACATATGAAGCTAGTAAAAACGGATTGCTCACTGAGTATTGTGTCTTTTCTCTCTGGTGTTGGCCACATCAGGGGTTCGTCTAGTCTTCTATACCAAAGGTGGTACCACCCCACGGTGAACACGTGAGCTAGTGCTGTACTACAGCAAGCCTCGAGATCACATCCGCCACCACATTAAGCTGACCAGTGGAACCTTAGCTCGAACATTTACTCGGTAAAACAGGTAAGCATCTTACCGATATGCATGAATGGTATACATATACGCTGCAAATGGCTTAGAGCCACGCAGATGTATCCTGAAGATGACACGACTATACTTTACAGCAAGTGTTTCTTTGTCGTGAGCTGGGTAGTTTTTCTCTGTCACTTTTGCTGGCGAGACTCAAAGTGATTACGCGCTCATGTTCATCGAGATCCGCTCGAAGTAACGCACAATCGATGGCAAAAGCTGAAGCGTCACAGCTGGCATACAATGGCCAACCTAGACTCGAGAGAGATAATTTAGGGCATGCACGAAGCTTTCATTCCCAGCACTAATAACCACTTTTTCTGCAGCAATCCAGCACTATATGACTTTCTTAAAATGACTGCGGAAGCTTCGAAGATTATGCTTGCGAACAGCTTATCGACACGCATACACTCGATCACTGTTCGCAAATATTTAGCGTATTCGACCACATCCGACTCGCATGTTCTTTGCATGACCAAAGACGCCGGAATCATGAAACTGAAAAGTGCGGTCGACATGCTTTTTTGCATGAGAATTTGGTTTTTGCGTTGGGAACACGCGAAATTCGCCTCTTGCCGTTAGCCTTCCTGACACAGAAGGCTGGCCCGAGTTGAGATATTCATTCTCTCCCACCAAACCCTCTTCGTGAGCTTCATAATGGAAGCGTCTATAACGTCACTCGAAATCCGATGTAAGAGTCATTGACGTGTAACAGAGCATTCGGTCTTACTAAATAAGATCATACTCTCCGATCCAGGGGCAACACGCGTGGTAGGTGTGCTGTCTGCACGCCGTGATATATATTAAGCAATTGGAAAGGATGATCCTATAGCATCCTTAAGGATGGATTTTCATTAATCTGCAAATGCGATCAATGGTGGACACATCTATGGCAAATGAAGAGCTCATCTCCCACTCCGGTAACAACTGTACCAATTCGATAAACTTGCAAATCGTTCCAGAAAATAGCTCGCCGAAATGAATGTAGGCTTCTGCCGGAAATAACATGGAAAAGTTTGCATCTTGTGTTCTAGAATACATAAATTCTTTTGCCACAAATCTCTAAAGCTTTGCTGCCTCACATAGTGGATGCGTCACACTGTTGTGCAGACTCAGTGGTACCGTTACATTATGACAAAGAAGGCTTATCCTTAATGATCGCAGGACCTGGTCTTTTTGCTTCTGTTTCTCCGGTACAAAGCTCTGTCGCTTTTTCACTCTGGACTGGCTATGGCACAAACATTCATTTTCAGCCGTTGTTAATCATCCCGCCAGAGAGATCCTTCGAGAACGCGATTTACGATTCTTCATTTATGTAGCATCGAAAAAGCGCGTATGATACCGCTTTGAACTTCTTAGCTCTGCTCCAAGCACTTAAAAATGGCTTTGACGGACGTTTTGGTCAATGACATATCTTGCGTTAAAGTTATCGTAGCACCACGCCCGTACTATCTATAATCAACAGATTTGGGTTCACGACTCGCTAGAACTTCACCAGGAGATAAGTCTGTGGCATCTAGCTTTTTAAATTTTTCAGTCGATCCATAATTCATGACGTTCACACCACGCCTCATAATTCGAATCCAGGTTCGAGACGAGGCCACGTTACATGCTGTCAAAGTCTTTTACCTGCATAATCAACCGAGCCTTCCGCTCTTATACTCGCTAAATGTTGCAATACACACGGATACTGCGTCAGTACTTGTCAACTTTGATGACTTCGAGTACTGTCTGCCCGTTTCAATAGTTGCACGTCGTACGTAATTACGCAGTGCTCCCTAATTTATCAGGATCGTCCATGGATCTGTAATGTCCCGGAGCGCCGACGTTGATGGTCCTTACCCCTGGGATGTGAGGTTCACCTCTGTTAAAACAAATTTTAAAGCTTGATTCCGTTCGGCATGACTTTCAAGAGATACAAAATAATTCTGTTCTTCCCAGTAGACCTCTCCGCTCCTACTGGTATTCGACGTTTCACCGCAAAGGCATTATCAAACGACCCTGCAAGAGAAAGGGGGGAAGAGATAGAGTCCCAGGACTGCCGCCGATGTATCATATGAAAGCATAATGAAGCAGCTTGGTCACCAAAATACTTATTTTTATTTCCCAACAAGGCTGATGTCCATCTCATCTGGCGCGATCGTAGCAATTCTACATCCTGTCTTCCGTCTGACCTCGTGGGACTTAACATTCTCCATTGCTTTGTGTATGATACCCACGGCTTGTTCTTAGAAGGCAATGTGAACACGTTAGATCCTTGTGCGAGTCGCACCTGATCGTGAAACCTTTTTGAAGCTGGTAATGTTTACTGCCTCCAAAATAGGATCTAGGGCCATCACGGCGATGACAGCTTGCAAGTTTTGAGCATAGTCCCCTCGTTCACGCCTACCTTGATGGGTACACGCTATGTGTACAAACGGCCACGACATATCTTTCTGCAGATATTCTCGCGTTGGGAGTGCCGCTTCTAAAGAAGCACTGCACGTATGTGCACATTTTCGCGCGCGACCTCTTAACTTGGAGAGCGCAAGTACAACTCACTCTTGTTCCGTCTAGAGTATGGTGAGCCTCATGGCCATCTTCGCTTCGCTCATCCAAAGAGAGATTATTTCCGTACCTGCCTTCGAAGGGCTGGACGTTAAGCGGAGCGTCAGGGACATGTATGACAGTAATTTGGTCAAATAATATTACCATACGCCAGCTTCGTTGCGCACAACAAACAACTAAAAGCATAAAGATTTCCTCAGTGCGACAGAGTAACAACAACGGTCTTAGTGCTCCCTTACGGCTAGAGCCGACTGCGTTCACACCGACAAATGATTGCATCCTTTCTGGGGGTGTCTCAGAAGGGCATTCTCATAGCTGATGAGCGGCTCCATGCACTTCTAGCCCTAAAATTGTCAAGCGTGCTATCACATCCGACAATGAAAGACATAAGCTTTAAAACGTGTCTAGTTGTCTCGATGACAGTGATCTCACCTGTTTGAAACTCGGTCATCGTATGACCAAAAGTGCTTTCAAGTGCTGTACACCTTGCATATGGGAAGCTTTGGCGATAATTGATGTGTCCGTAAGCTGTGCTTAGGAGCGGATTAAGAGTCCCTAAAGCAACTAAATGACTTGAGATTTCTCATCTAATTCAGGCTGAAATACATCAAGAATTACAAACTAATACTTAATTTATCCGTGCTGCTATACCCAATTGCATCGCACGCCGAGGGACTTGTAGTCCACGTGTCCCACCGATTCGCTTCAAAACAAATCTCCATCGTTGATATGTCCGAGTTCACACAAAAGCGTTATGTGTGTTTTGAGCATATTTTTTGTTCAATTGCACAAAAGACAAACACAACGTACCTCTGTTTGGAATAACCATGTGGTTACTGGTCTAATACCCTCTATTCTGTGACATACGAAAAGTGTCGACCTTTAACGATCATCATCTGGCTTCACCACCAGCTTCTCATGTGGCTTATATCGTGATATCGTGATTAAACTGTCACCTATTCGAAATTGGCTGCCAGGTCCCAACGTACCTTAAACTACATAATACTCCGTGGCCTCACAGACGGTTTTCAAGGAATCTCACCTTTGTGACCATATAAAATATTTTTTGTGGAAATACTAGCGGCCGACTTGACTCTAACGGTGACCGCGCTGCGTGACCCGAACATATCGTCATTTCTTAGGTGCAATGTCTTCTATTGCAATAATCCCGGCCGATGCTGTACGGCTCGGATCAAATATTGGTAGATTAATGAGACACGCATTATTGTCCAAAGGAGGAGCACGCAGTCAACTTCGGCCACAATACTTCCGCGATTATCAAAGATAGCGACAACTTCGATCCATTTTAGGTGGTGTCCAAATGAAGTGGTGACATGCTTTCTCGGAGAATACTAACAATGAATCATCAACCATTTTAAGTCTTTCTTGTGCTCGCGCCTCAGCTGAACGCACCGTCACTTTTATCTTAACACAATACTCGTATATTTAGGCAAATTAGATGACACCAAAAGGTTTTATAATCGCTCAATATCTCCGCGCTTGCCCCCTTACGCAATGGCCTTGCAAAACTGTACAATCGACGCAGCTGCCCAACCGCTGAAATTACCGACGAGTAGGCCCATGAATGTGATAGTAACGTAGTCAGACACGGAAACGGACTTTCTTTCGGGCGTGATTGGAGGCTCGACATCTTCCTGTACACTAGGTTGATGACAATAATACATGCCAACTAAACCCATAAGACAGACTTGCGAGGTACATATCATCCGGGTACTTAAAGATTCACTATACACGCGTACACTGGATCCAAGGAAACCCGTCACGAAGGACAGTAATAACGGTACCAACTGGGCTACAGTCTCGCCAAGATGGGGCTGAAGCGATGGACCATAAGTATCGTACAGTCGTCGCTTTTTCGGATCCGATAAGACTTCGTAGGCTTCGTTGATTGCTATAAATTGATCTGGTCTTGCATTGGGATTTTTATCTGGGTGGTACTTGAGCGCCATGGAGCGATAAGCTTTCACAATAACGGACGGACTGCGCAAAATCAAAACGTTAGAGTCCCAACTTTGACTTGATCAGATAAAGATATGATACATGGCTATGATAGAAATGTACCTTGCGTCCACATCAATCTCTAGGACCGAGTAGTAACCTGATTCCTGTGCCTTGCGCATTCGTTCAACTGCCATATCTTGTTGAGTTACTCTTCTTTGTTGTGTAGACATGTACATAACCAATCAAAACAGAAGGCTGCATATTGTTGTCTACATACGCGCTTACTATTGGACACTGAAGCATTGCAGACACACTGAGAAATTTCTATATTTAGTCGTATGCTATATACACTGCGATTTGAAATGGAAGAGGCTGCTTAATGATATTATACAATCACCATCTGTTTGATCGCAAATTGCTAAATCGTTCGCTTGTGATTCCTCACCCAATCACAGTGAGTTTTTCCCCTTACCTTCACATTTTCAAAAACTGCACTTCAGCTCATAATGGACGTTCCTCATATTTCAATGTCGAAAAGTGGCGTAGCAATTCAAAAGCTGGTGGTGCAAGGAATTTTTCTCTTTACTGGTGTAATTTCGACTTGTGTAGCACAATTTGTTTTTTATCAAGGTGCAGGTGATCAAAAAGCTATGTTATTGCCATTGTGCAACTATCTCGGGATGATGCTTGTGGGGTTGCTGCCTGTGGGGACTGCCGCTACTGATCAAGCGAGAATTGGTAAGCGATTGAAGACTCATATGAAGAAACAAAAAGCGCTTCCAAGTTCAAAGACGCAGCAAAAAGAAACTAGCAGATCTGTCAAGGACGATATTAAGCGACCGGAGCTTACACCCTTGCCGCTAACGCTCATTAAGTGCCACTCAACTGAATCAGAAGCTACTGATATGGAGATTACAAGGCGAACAAATGGAATTGACGAGGAAATTCAATACGAAACAGACGATAGTAGCAAAGATGAGACAAAGCCTGGAGTAGGTTCCCACGTGACGCCATCCTCTCTTTTCTTTTCTTTAACAACGGTGCAGCTTTGCATTATTGTATCTGTGATTTTGGACTTTACTGGTTGTATTTTTTCCAACTTGGGCTTATCTATGGCGGGTAGTGGCCTTTATCAAGTCGTATACTCTAGCGTCATCTGCTGGTCAGCGCTGATGTCGCGATTTCTTTTAAGAAAAATTGTGTCTAAGGAAGAATGGTTTGGGATTGCATTGGTAACATTTGGACTTGCCTTTAGTGCATTGGGAGAATCTAGAAACGAACATGACAACATGATTGTTCTAATGGGATGTTTGAACACGCTAATAGGAGCAGCATTTTACGGTGGTAATTATGTGACAGGAGAGTATACGCTGAAGCTAGCAGAGCAACCACATCCCAAGGAATTGTGCCTTAAGATTGGCGCGACTTGTGTTGCGATTATTGCCATATATCAAATTATTTATGTTCTGCCAGCATGGGAGGCACTGGTGACGCAGCCAATCGTTGAAGCTAATGGCAATACAATCTTTATTGTGTTTGCACTTGTGGTGTACACGCTGTCTCAATTAGCGCATGGACTCACGTACTTTGTAATGTTGGGCTCCTGTGGTGCGGTCACAACTGGCATTATGCAAAGTTTACGAGCTGTTTGTGTATTTGTAATAAGCTCAATGTTGTATTGCAGCCAACAGGAATCACAATGTTTTGACACAAAACGAGGCGTCGCCGCGCTTATTGTCGTGAGTGGCGTCATGTTTTATTCATGGGCAAAGAGTCAGCACAACAAGGCAAATGTATCAGCTCCTTTATCGTCGTTGCGACAAAGAAATACGAACACTAAGACCAAGATGTTTGCAAGCAAAAATTACGTTGTTTAAAGCTGAACATAGTAAACAAATGATAGTTAAGTAGGATACCAGGATATTACAAATCTACTCCGCTGTATGGGTACACATTTCTGCTTTGAATTAGCAAGACGACCATGATTAGTGCATCCCACTCTTGCGGTCGTGAACGAAAGTTTATTCGTTAAGCACATCGTGTCAAATTTTGATCAAATGTCTGTATCATTGTTGCCGATATATCAGTCGACAGCATCTCTTCTGTTTGGAATTCGCGGTGTAATAGACTTGTATTGTCTTACATTGCGGTCAATTCTTTCAAGGTATTCCCTTATAACTGCAAATTCAAACCTTATTAATACCGTGTTTCGTTCTCATGTTAAAAATGTTGTCCGGTTGTTTTGTTTTGTGAGCAAATTGCTTTTTATTGTGTGCTCATCTGAGCACGCACCAAAGCAGCTGAATAAGTGCTGGATGCAGTGCTGAGATCTTCGCATATTCGTCTAAACGCTTTTAGCGTCAATATGGAGCCACTGGTAGTTAAATGTGCCTTACAAATTAAACATTGTTTGGTCGAGCTCAATTAAAAACTATAGTGAAATGTCTCAAGCTACTAGATCATAATCGATTCGTTAAGCAGCGAAAACTCTGTTCAGGAGAAGCAGTTGGAAGAGAAGCTTGTAAGATTGGTGAATGCAAGTCCGTATCATGATCGTCACAAATGTGACTGCAGATTGAACACTTCGCCTTTCAGTTAAAAAAAAGCTCCAGTGGTTAGACAGGGAACTTGCAATACAATAGCAACCAATTCACTGGATGTTGTGCACTCAGTGAATTGGTTGCTATTGTATTGTAAGGAAGTGTAGCATTAATTGAAAGGTAAAGGTTTTTATTATTGTCAAAGGAAAAACATAGATATCATATCGGAACTTATAGTAACTTGAAAGGTATAATTTATATCTACAATATCTTTAATTTTTTTTATCAAGTTATCTAGTTATATCTTTTTATCTGTGCACCAGGTAACGCGGACTTTGAGATTCAGGAAAGGCTCAACTCAAATTGGTAGAAGTTGTCGTCAATTAAAAGACTGAGTCTGAATATGACTTTATTCTCTGAGCAACTCTATATCGCTCCCTATGGATTGGTATAGCATTTGAACGGGCAGAAATAGCAAGAACTGAAATGCGAAAACATTTGCTCGTTTGTATACTACAAAAGTTTAGATTGGATAAATGATTCAATCGCCACGAGAGATCGAGTGTATTCATAGTT